ACTACCCCTCTATTAAGCCTTGCCATCCTATGCCAGCAGTCATCTGACATTAGCCCCCTGCGTGACAATGCGTCTATTGTCCGATCTGGCTCTATCCCTTGATACATTGTCCACTAGATACCTCCCCGTTCCTCCCTAGAACGTTAGCTCTACCCGTATAAGATTTGGCTTCTATGTGGTACTAGTAGCTAGATCATTTATATATATGTACGGCTCACTAAACTATCACGGAATGAATAGTACTACCTACTACTTTAGCCCTACTAAGTAACATAACCTTGCTTCATTTCCAAACCATAATTTTCCAACTTACTACTTAGTAACCCAATAGTTGTAGTACATATACATAAACTTTGAACTTACTATATAACTACGTAGTAGTAGATCGGATACTACGTGACATTGAAGCCTCCGTCCCAGATGCGGGCAATTGAACATGATCTATCATAGCAAAAGATAATTCCTACTCATCAGTAAGCAAGATTTCTACTGCAGACTACATCCGACAAACTAAACAACAATTCAATCAATCAATATAGCCAGTAATATAAATCCTCCTCCTCCTCCTCCTCCTCCTCCTGATAATCCGTCTTATCTACACTCCATCCTTCGACACACACGTACCCAACATCTTCACATATAGACATTAAATAGACATAGACAATCAGTAAATAAGTACCACTCCATCAAAATCTCCTTCGATGAATTGCAATCATCACAAAAATGCCAATTGCTAATTAATACCACCTATTCCAGACTAACCCACGTTTCCTTTCCTTCTTAATCGAATACTAATAGGCTTGACTTTAGTACTTACATATCCATCAATACTAGTAAACGACATATGATTATCAGTCTTAGTTACGTGGGTGCTAAGAACTACTTAGTGTGATGGTCCCAGAGAATGGGGTTTAGTAGTTAGAAGGGATTTTGTGAGAGAATTAGAGAGGATGGGAGGAGTACAGTATCATTATGGGTTAATTATTCTATATAAAGATATACAAACCCCACCCCGGATGACACTCCTACAAAACGAAAGGCATCTTTGAGTGAGGTTTCTCGACACCATCATGATCATAATACAAAGTGTAGTGGATTAGATCCCCGGCGGCTGCTAATAAAGCAACAGTTGAAGATGGGAAAGTAGATATACGCCCGGTGCCAGGAAGGAGAATATATCTAGTAGTGTACTTTTAAAAAGATCATAGAGCAGAGTTCTCACCTATTATTTTCCCCTTCGGTGTCTCTATACCGGCGTGTAATAAAAAAAAATTTCTAAGGTTTTCTTTACAGACTTTTAAACCTATGCACGAAAGCTGAAGTATAAAGGATGACAAAATTATAACTTTTATATATATATAGAATATACACGAAGACGTACCACCTGTATCTACTAGTTAGGATAGAAAAGGTCTTAGCGGCATGCAGGGAAGTGTCGCATCTTCTTCTGGTCGTTAGTGATTCAGCAAGAGTGCCCAAATGATTGCGCTGAATTTGAGGTCAATTGCAATATTAATAATCATAATCTCATATATATATATATATATATATCTATTGAATTCCATCACCAATAATATCAATAGTGATCGTTGTGACATACAAGGCATTGAAACTTGTTCATCGCACCACAGGCAACTGGGCGTTTCCAGTGAGTAACTGTTAGTAACGTAGCTGAAGGGGGTGAGATTGCTTGCTGCTTTTTATGTCGATTTAATTTCATATGCTAGTTGATGCTTACAAGTGGTGAGATGGAGATAGGTACGAAGTAGTAGTGGTGGTTGTGGTTACGGTAGTTGGTGTTCAGTGGAAATGTATCTCATATATATATTTGTACTAGAAGCAGTGCCGGTCGTAAGTAGAAGCAGATCAACATAGTTATGGCTTCACTTGAGCGAAATTATTTCATAGTAATACTACTAGTAGTAACAAGATGAAGATGAGAAAGAGCGAGTACCATGAGTACATCAGCTATGGAATAGCGGTTACTGGACTAGTACATTTTTATATTCGTCACCAAGGCCATCACCCGAGGCCACTAAGACGGACTCAACTACATGCCAATGACATCTCGCTAGGCTGCTTACTTATGCTCTACTCATGCTTCTGTCAATTGTACACAACCCATATATTAGGTATCGCTACCAGGTAAGTACTAATCTATCATGCCCAACCCGTTCTTCGATGGTAATCCCGGATCAACCGTAGATACAAGAATAACAAAAGATATCGAAAACAAAACAAGCAAAAAACCATTCCCGCTAAAGCAATATTAAAATCATAATACCCGGCAAGATGATCAAGGTCATACAGATTCGAATGGAAATGAAAGATGTCACATGCAAGAAAGCATGTATGTTGTAAGCTTGTCATGCAAAGTCACTGCGTTAAACTGCAGAGTATGACGCAGTAAAGCCAAAGTCAATTTGGCTAGCTTCGTATATTGCTCATAGATTTTACCATGTTTCCTGGTTCAGGGGTTAGTTTCAGTTTAACAATCAAGTAGCAGTAGCAGATCACACTTACGGCAATGTACTGTCCAGCTTCCTTCTTATTCTCCCAGAACAACGTCGCTTCCTCCATGTTGAGGTTACCCTTGGCCATGGCTACGTCGACCAGGGCGGCTTCAACACCCTCTCCCATGCCTTTTCCGCTACCGCAGACAAAGACACGTCCGTCCAAAGCATTGATCACGTACCAGACCAGATCAGCTTGGTTTCGGACCTCCTCTTGCACGTACTTGCTCTCGCCACGACGGCTCTGCACAACTGTTCGCACCTTTTCTTCTTCGACACCCCACTCGCCGCGGTAGAGCTCGTCCAGCAAAGAGTCGCGAACACCCTGCAACACCCAGACCTTGTTTGCACAATTGGCGGACTGCAGGCGTCGCTGCACGAAACCGCGGAACGGAGCAATGCCGACGCCTGCTCCGATAAGCAGCATGGGGCCATCCGATGCGAAACGCTTGGCTAAGGGGTTGGCCATCAGGCCTCGGAACATGGGTACGTGGAGGTCAAGGGTCTGCGGGTCGATGCCCTTTTTCTCAGCGTCAATCAATCGACGTGCAACGCGCTCGAGGTATCCAGATCCCACACCAGTACGGAGGCCTCCCTTCCAGTCCTCAGACTCGGCCACGGTTACCGCAACCTCGATCACACGCCGAGTCACGGAGCCCTTCTGCTTGCACGATAGAAGTGGATCTTGGGACAAGGAGTAGAAGCGGGGCATGAGGGTGTTCAGGACGGAGAGAAGGTGATCCAAGGGAGGGTGAGAGGAAGGGAATGCGTGAAGCAACTGGGAGACGGTGACGTGGGAGCTGGTGCGCAGGTCACAGAAAGCACCTTGGCCCTGGGCGGAGGAAAGGAACAAGAGGATCTTCTTTTCATTAGGATCGCTGGCATATTCGCCGAGTAGGCGGAACAGAGCCTTGTTGGGAGCATAACTCTGGATATCGGAGCACCAGTTCAGCAGTTCCCGCCGGGTGGTGATCAATTCCCGGGGTTGGTCGTCACCCCAGATGGTAGGCCAGCGGCCTTTCTCAGTGCGCACGACGATCTTCTTATCACGGAGAAACTTGGGAACACCAAGCTGGTCAAAGATGTCATCAACCTCCTCTTCCTTGTTCTTAGGACACACTCCAATGGCGCCGCCCACAATGAAATCGACGTTTCCACTCTCTGCAGGGTAGTCGGTGACGTCAATGTCAAAGTGATACGTCCTCTTCTCCGCACCTGACCCTGTCAGCTCGCGCGCATGGTACAAGGGCGCCCGGTAGACATTGTACGGTGGGTGAGGCTGGACAAAAGAAGGAGGATGGTCTGCCGGACCCAGCTGCACATCTACTGCGTAGCCTGGGACGGACGAGAAAGAGACAGTCTTCTCGGGCAAAGGGGCAACGTTGCTCAGCTCGCTGTCCAAGGTGAGATAATCGACATTGAGCTTCAGGCATTGGTAGGCCTTGTTATCCGGAGGAGTAATGGCCTTCACTCCAGCCAGTGGAGGAGTGAAGTTTACCAAGGGCTTGCTGCGGCAGCATCCACCACCGCAGCAAAGTGGCTGAAGCTTCTGTGTACCGCTAGATCCCACGTTCTCCAGAATACGTCTCATATCATCAGAGTTCTGAGAAATGAGCACGGTGGATGCTCGTCGTTGCTTTTCGGGCCCATCGCGGGTGGAATCTTCAGCTTCGGATTGGAGTTCAGTGGCAGGGGTCTGGACACCCGAGCTTGTCCCTGAACCGGTAGTATCTGTCTCTGGCGATGATGGAGTGGAAACACTGAAGTTCACATCGGTTATCGAAAGCGATCGAACGCCACGAGGCTCCTCTGGAACCGGATTGTCAGGGTGGGAGGTAGACGACCGGGGAACGATCGCATGCTCCACATTAGGAACAAGTGATGTCCGCGACGTCACAGGCCTCGACGGCGGCGGTGGAGGAAGTACGGCGTGAACTGTTCAGAGAATTGATATCAGCAATTGTCAAGATATCAATGGAGTAGCACGCGCGAAAGAGACTGTTAAACATACCCATTGTGGTTCTATGACAGCGGAAGATATGACAATTGGTGATAAGTCGCCAACCCAGAGGAATTGGCGAAGATGAAGAGAGGATGGCAGACAAAAGCCGAAGACCAGGCAATCGCAAGATAATGGCTGGTCAAATGTAGAAAAGAAGAGCCACAAAAAAGGGAATTGGAAAAGAAGGCCAGTGGATCGGGTCAGCTAGTGGACACCGCAATCGTGATGGAGACCCGAATCAGACCAGCAGCAATCGGAGAGAACAGGTCAGCAGTGGGTGAGGATGATGATGAATGGTCGAAGAATGGGGGTGGAATCAAATTGGACGGGAAGCAGTTCGCCTGGGGCAGACGGCACCGGGATAACGGTTCCGATAAACTAGACGACGATGCACATCAGATGGTGGGCGATTTAGTCGCTACTTAGTCGGGATCCTTTCGCCTGTTGGCGTCCTTTTGGCGTACGGAGGATTCCGGTAGTCCGACCGGGTGGGCGTGAGAGCAGGAGATAAGTCCTATTTAGACGAGGGCGGGTGTGCTGAATTTTAGCTGTAACTCCAGTCAAGACAGCTGGGGGATGAACTGGATTTCATGCACGTGCAAAAAAAAGAATCAGATAAGTGGCCGGGCTGGAGGGGAGTAAAGGGGAAAAAAAGAGCCATGAAGAAGAGAAAGACGGACTTGTTTTGTCGCACACAATCATTATTCAACCATGAATAACTCGTACGAAATCCACGGTCGGACTTGCCACTCGCCCCCGTCGGTGAACCTCCCGTCATTACCGTTCTGTCTGTAACTTACTTTACCCGTCTTGTCCATGACCAACGGAAGCGTTTATCCCACGCAAGGCAATTTGCCTTTTCTACCCTCAAAGAAAGGGTTGAACCTGGAATCTTTTGACACATCTTTTGGTCTTCTTCTGATAAGGTCTTCCATGTACTCCGGTGACTACAAATCCATCTCACCAATCAGACCATCTCAGGGTTGAGACCCCGGCGGGGAAACAGTCGAGTTGGCAGCCCGATCTGCAGCTAGCGGTACAGTTTACTCGACCTGGTAGTAATTGGAGACAAATGAATGGACTGCCCTGCCAGCCTAGCTGGATGGATTCCTTATCCCGGGTTGAATATGATATCAGGCTTGCGTGAGATATTTACCATCTCCCTAGCTAATCAGCCATTGCTTTCCCCCCACCCCCAGAACTGCCTGTGATCACTTGCCACGACCGCATTCAGATCGTTCATCCGGCCATTGCAAGTGGCCTGACAGCGGCAGTTCTCCCAATTCCTCTCGTACCGGTACGTAACATTGCAACAGCCGAGTTACGTTACCGATCTAATCTGATCCGGTCTCACCCACCTTCAAGGCAAGGATCGGTCCTCGGTTAAGCCAACTTGTCTGGTTATTTTCTCTCTCAACGCTATCAAGCTATCCGATATCATTGAACAATCATTGGAATACTACACCGGAATCTCACTCCGACACCGTCACCATAGCTTTCCCCATATTCTCTCAGTATGAGGGAACAACAAATCTTCCCGGGTTGCACATACCGCTGACCGTTCACGTGATCGGTGGCTAGTCTGGATACGGATCAGATAACTTTGTCGCGTTCTGTGTCCGGTCATCCGTGTGTCATCCCACCTCGGCTGATAGCTCTCCTTACCTCCCTTACCATTTACCATGACAGTAACCCCAACCCATCACGAGTAAAAGTCTAATGTTTCCTTTTGTTCTCAACATACACGCAACCAAAAATGTCTACTGCTTAACCCTCAACCAATCCACACCGTACCCATTATGACAAAAAAAGCCATCCGTTCACCGGAAACCGTGTAACCGCATGTGACAGGTCACTCGGGCCTCCGAGTGGGGCACATTCCGACATCGGCCGACGCGTTCACCCATATCAATCAAATCAATCAATCAGATATGAATTTTACCTCCTTGAGTAATGTATTAAAATGAAGGGGAACCTCCTTTCCGCCGGAGTACATTGCCCTTTTCCCCAGCGAAAGCTGCTCATAATCCCCAATAATAACACCATCATCAGTAGCGCTAAATTCAATAACTCCTCCTCACTTTCCAGAACACAACTAGCATCACACTAAAACGTTCTGGAACTTGACATGACCCGTCGTTCTCCATAGCGGGCTGGGGAAGAATGAAGATCAGGGGGAGGAAGAAGAGGCTAGCTGTATGATCAGATTACACAATATGATGCAGCGGACTCCGGAATTACGGAGGTTCGTGTGGCCCCGTGCATTGATTCATTCATTCAATCATTTACCTCTGGCTCATCTTCCTCCTGTAAGGGGGTGGCCACACACAGAATATGCTATCGTCGGAGTGTCCGATGTAGCAGCAGATGAAAGCTGAATATTGCGCTTCTCCCCTCTGGTCGGAAAAGTCAGCCGAGTTCACACACAGACAGACAGACAGACAGACACACTTGGTCTGGGCCTGCCTGGGTTCGCGTTACGCAATCAGGATCACCCAACCAACCAACCAACCCCCTTCGGCACACATACCCAGCGGGGAGGGGGGGGCTTATCTGATTGAGCTAGAACCCAAGGCTCTGGGGCTGGACGGGAAGACGCTATCTACTTGATAGAACTAACTATCTAGTTAGCTAGTTATTTATTGACTAGTGACTAAATCGGGTGTGTGGGTGGGTTCCTTTGATGCGACGGTCTCTACTGTTATGGGTTGGCGTGGGTTAGAAAGTACGTGTCTCCGTACTTTTTCTATCGTTCTTGATGTCTTTCTTGTTTGTTATGCCCTGATTTTCAAGTACGAGTCCTTTTTGTTGATCTACTACAGCTCTTGTTACATTCATCAGGTGTAATCGATACTCCTGGATCTTCCGTAAGCCTCTAACCCGTCCCATTTCTGAAGAGGTTGAGGTTATGACGCCGCGCGCGCACGGTTACACACTCTCACACTCTCTGACACACGGCAGGGATGATGACCGATCAGGTATTCATTCCGTCCCGATGTGCCCGACAGAGAATGACCGGTCGCGTTTCAAGGCAGAATCTCCCTGTCTGATGATGTATTGGTAAGTTGTTTCGTGGACTAGATAGCTCCGGTTGATCTGTGATTGTGTGTGTGTGTGTGTGTTCTCTTGCGCGGAGGTGGTAGTTGGTCATGCAAGGTAGCATATCCGCGGTTGAGATGGATACCCAATTGCCGGGGTTTATCCTGGACTGGGCCGCCTTCTGGTCCGGCTTGATGTCTAGTAATAGTTGGTTTTAGTATGTTATTGGTTTTGTGGGAGTATGGTGGGAAGTGATAATCATTAGATGGCTGCGGCAGTTTTGTCCATGGAACGAGCGCGTTTTGTACTCGTGTCCCGTTAGATAAAGATAAATGCCTGAACGCTCGATATAAGGTTCTTACGTTGGATGTATGTACAAATGGTTTGTTGTTAGATTGTATAGTTTACAAAACAAGCGTACTGCAATACACTGCACTCAGCCCTCACATGTCATTCAAATCAATGTCCCTCTTTACCAATGCCACTGGTGCAATGAACTGGTATCTCCCCCAGAAGTAATAATACACTGATGCAAACCCAACCATTGCCAAGTACATAACTACACTCCAGTTCATACTATGCGCATCCACAGTCTTTGTCAGTGGAAAAAACGAAAAGACGAATATCGGAAATAGAAACGCGAGACTAGCAATATTGATGCCCATCCCGAACCGGCCGAGCGACCATCGTCGCGGTGGGAGCTTTTCTCCGCGCAGTCGCTTCAGCAGAACACACCCAATGGACAGGATGTAGGCTGACATGAGCGATGTTATTGTTAATGAGATGACAGCATTCAGAGCTAGGTTGGACCCAATGTTGATGAGGCTTAAGAGTGCAGTAACGACTAATGAGACGAGGACAGAATTCAGAGGTATATTCCAGCCGGGAGTGACCTGCAAACTGGTATGTCAGTGACTAGAGCTGGTAGCTGTTGTATAATAGTACTTACATATGCAAAGAAAGACGAGAATGGAAGTCCTTGGTCTCGCGCAAATGACCACAGTTGGCGGGATGCTGTGGCTACCTCGGTGATTGTGCTGGCGGTCAGTGTGATGACCAGTATAGCTGCCATAGTGTTTGCTGCTGCGTAACTGCGGGTAGTGTTGTAGAATATCTGGATGAATGGAAATCCGGTTGGACTCTGTAAGATGTTGTTGACATCTCCCAGAGTAAAGCATAAGGTAACAATCATGATGAATCCAAGAATGCCATTAACACCCACTGCAGACATCATAGCCTTCGGGAGTGTTTCTGATGCGTCCTTAATTTCTTCCGCTACCTTTGTATTAGAACCAGGCTTTCGATGGTGAAGAGGCACATACACATATGAACAGAGCAATCGTATCCAATCATGGAAGTGATAGTAGTAGACAAGCCGACAAGAGTAGCGGTGCCAGGACTTCCCCATCCGCCTCCATCGTAGAATTCGGTGAAGACAGCCTTTGCGCTATTTCGAGGAGCAAGTACCCAAAGTGGGATAATGATAGCAAATAGACCCACAACATGAATGATGAGTATCAGTCCCTCAACCATAGGGAGATTCTTGGCCAGAAATGTGTTGAATAAGATCGAAAATGCCGTGATAGCTATAACAAGCAGAGTACCATGCCACCGCTCGAATTCATAATTCGGATGATTTAGCACTATCAATCCTTGGATTATTGTACCTGCCAAATATGCAATGGCTACAATGGCACATTGCCAACCTGTTGCACACAGCCATCCTAGTGTCTTTGTCAGTCTTGGGCTGGAAGAGCGCATATGCTCGACATACCCGTTATATAGCTCAAAAACTTCTGCCCCCGGCGAGGAGCAAATTCTGATACCCAATGATATTGACCACCTGATATTGGTGACCTTTGATCACTTATTAGGATACTCTGTCTCTCCTTCCGAGCAACAAATACTCAAGGGGTCTCAGACGTACATAGATGCCATCTCAGCTATGCTGGCAAAGACAAGCGCAAAGCCGGCTGTGACGATGATGAAGCCCCATATCAACCCAGCGGTCCCTCCGTCTGTCAGACCACTGGTCAATAACCTGCTCATAGATTAACCAATGAACTATAATTTCTGTGATAGTACTCACGTTAAGATGACCTCCCACGTGGAGATCAATGTACAGCCGAATCCAAGGATTGAGATGAACCTAAAATTTCGCTATCTTGCATGAGCATAAGGCAGCTATAGCATGAAAAATAGCATCCTACCCTTAAGACCTGGACACGACCTAGAGCACTCATGTCGCGCTGGTCTCTTATCGTACCCATGTACTTAGGGGCCACAAGGCCCTTGGGTGCTTTCTCAACATTTTGAGAACCTTCCACATATATTCGCCCTTCGATGTTGCCACTCTCGAGGGCCATGATGAAGACTAATGACCAAGGATGTATGGTCTCAGTTGGAACAGACACTGCGAGATTGCAGGCACAGACAATGACCGTTATTCTCTCTAGGACGGTAGGCAGATGGGCATCAATTAATCCGTGTCAATGCATTCTTGTGGCGCTGGGTCACAATCTTCAGCCGGACACGACATGCTAGATAAAGGCAATTCTGAAACATATCCTGGAAATGGATGTGCGTATTGGTGGCTTCGTAGCGCAGATCAAGTATGCTTGCTTTTTCTTGTGTGATTCTCGGGATCCCTATACGAGCTCGCAGTTGGGCACAATGACGGATATATTCAAGACATTGATGCCTTGACTCAAAACTGAGACCCGTCAAACAATACCGAAAAGCCCTAGAGCTTCTACTTCGAGGTTTTTATGGTGGCTTTCCTATGTCCTGGCTGTCGGGATGAGGATTCCCAGTTTTGATCCCAAGTAAGGGGTAGGACAGACGGGAAGGCAGCCAGTCTCCGCGGGGAGAAAAGGCAACCTCCCACG